GATACAAAACAGATGAATATATGGGAAGAGGAAAAAAGAGAGAGGGAAATAAACTGTAAGGAACTTTTATTTTTAATATGAAATTTATTGTCAAATTGGTTTCCATACAACACCCAGTGCTCATCCCAACAGGTGCCCTCCTCGATGCCCATCACCCACCCTCTCCTCCCTCCCACCCCCCATCAACCCTCAGTTTATTCTCAGTTTTTGAGAGTCTCTTATGGTTTGCCTCCCTCCCTATCTTACTTTTTTTTTCCTTCCCCTCCCCCATGGTCTTCTGTTAAGTTTCTCAGGATCCACATAAGAGTGAAAATATATGGTATCTGTCTTTCTCTGTATGACTTACCTCACTCGGTATAATACCCTCCAGTTCCATCCTTGTTGCTACAAAAGGCTATATTTCATTCTTTCTCATTGCCACGTAGTACTCCATTGTGTATATAAACCACAATTTCTTTATCCATTCATCAGTTGATAGACATTGAGGCTCTTTCCATAATCTGGCTATTGTTGAGAGTGCTGTTATAAACATTAGGGTACAAGTGCCCCTATGCCTCAGCACTCTTATATCCCTTGGGTAAATTCCTAGCAGTGCTATTGCTGGGTCATAGGGTAGATCTGTTTTTAATTTTTTGAGGAACCTCCACACTGTTTTCCAGAGCGGCTGCACCAGTTTGCATTCCCACCGACAGTGCAAGAGGGTTCCTGTTTCTCCACATCCTCTCCAGCATCTATAGTCTCCTAATTTGTTCATTTTAGCCACTCTGACTGGCGTGAGGTGGTATCTGAGTGTGGTTTTGATTTGTATTTCCCTGATGAGGAGCGACATTGAGCATCTTTTCATGTGCCTGTTGGCCATCTGGATGTCTTCTTTAGAGAAGTGTCTACTCATGTTTTCTGCCCATTTCTTCACTGGATTATTTGTTTTTTGGGTGTGGAGTTTGGTGAGTTCTTTATAGATTTTGGATACTAGCTCTTTGTCTGATATGTCATTTGCAAATATCTTTTCCCATTCCATTGGTTGCCTTTATTTTTGTTGATTGTTTCCTTTGCAGTGCAGAAGCTTTTTATCTTCATGAGGTTCCAATAGTTCATTTTTGCTTTTAATTCCCTTGCCTTTGGAGATGTGTCAAGTAGGAAATTGCTGCGGCTGAGGTCAGAGAGGTTTTTTCCTGCTTTCTCCTCTAGGGTTTTGATGGTTTCCTGTCTCACATTCGGGTCCTTTATCCATTTTGAGTTTATTTTTGTGAATGGTGTAAGAAAGTGGTCTAGTTTCATTCTTCTGCATGTTGCTGTCCAGTTCTCCCAGCACCATTTGTTAAAGAGACTGTCTTTTTTCCATTGGATATTCTTTCCTGCTTTGTCAAAGATGAGTTGGCCATACGTTTGTGGGTCTAGTTCTGGAGTCTCTATTCTATTCCATTGGTTTATGTGTCTGTTTTTGTGCCAATACCAGGCTGTTTTGATGAAGTAAGGGACTCTTAATGATAGAGAACAAACTGAGGTTTGTTGAAGGGATGTGGTTGGGGGATGGGCTAAATGGATGATGGGTATTAAGGAGGGCACTTGTTATGATGAGCACTGGGTGATATGTGTAAGTGATGAATCACTAAATTCTACTCCCGAAACCAATATTATATTATATGTTAACTAACTAGAATTTAAATAAAAATTTGGAAGAAAATAACAACAAAAAAATGGAACAAAAGTTAATCTCATCCAGGAACATCTTCACAGACATACTGAGAATAATGTTTGGCCAAATATCTGGGCACCTCACTTCCCAGTGAAGTTGACACATAAGGCTAGTCATCATACCATATTAGCCTGTCATCTTGTCTACAACGATTTCTTTCAACTGTGTATACTATTCCATTACATACGTGTGTATGTATAGATGTATATATATACACATATAGACACACCCATGCATGTAATGGAATACACACATATACACACATGTATTTACTGTCATACTTAATATAAATGAAAAATTTATTATTTTGTTTAATAGTGTGCTTGTGAGTTTCATCTATAATGTGTTGTATTTGCTACAAATTATTCATTCTCATTGATGTATACTATTTCATTGTGTGACTACATGGAAATTTATTTATCCAGTTTACTATCAATGAGCATGTGGATAGTTTCCAGTTTGGAGCATCTCACTGATTTTGTCATTGGGAATTTTAGGTTGCTTCTAATTTGTTTCTAAACAATATCGCAAAGGCATCTTTTTGAACGTCTACTTGTACACACAGGTGAATATTTCTCTTGGGTAACCACAGATAAAAATTAAAAAAATGATCCATCTGGACCATGAGTGGAGAGAAAACAACACAACCAGAAAGTTCTCTTTCCACTTATTCCCTGTGCATTTTGGCTTCTAGTATTTTTCTTTCTCTTCACCCTCACCACATTATGACTAAACAGCTTCTTCCCTTTCCCAGAAGTTTCTCACAGATTTTGTTTTACAAATTTTTATTGAAGTAAAACATATCTATAGAAAAGTGCATACATTGGGGCGCCTGGGTGGCTTGGTCTGTTAAGCGTCCGACTTCGGCTCAGGTCATGATCTCGCGGTCCGTAAGTTTGAGCCCCGCATTGGGCTCTGTGCTGACAGCTCAGAGCCTGGAGCCTGTTTCAGATTCTGTGTCTCCCTCTCTCTCTGCCCCTCCCCTGTTCATGCTCTGTCTCTCTCTGTCTCAAAAATAAATAAACGTTAAAAAAAAAAAAAAAGAAAAGTGAATACATTTTATGTGTGCAGTGCAACGAAATTCCCCAAATTAAATACACATAAGTAACCCTGATAGAGATGGAAAATTACGAGCAGTAAGAAATGGAATTATGCATTATAGGTTCTGTAATTTCAACTTTACTGGATACTGCCCAATTGCTCTTCAAAGTGACCATGTCAGCTACCTTTCACAGAAGTGAGAAGGTATACCCATTTCTTCTCATCCTTGTCAATACTTGGGGTAGTCAAACCCTAGTTTTCCCTATACCAACAGGTAAAAATTTTGTGTTATTGTTTTAAGTTGCTTTTCCTTAATTTTTAATATGGCTGGGCATCTTTTCACGTTTATTTGCCAGTCAGAATTTTCTTTACTCATTTTGCTGTTGGTTGTTGTCCTGTGTATTTTTTTTTAATGAATTTTTCTCAAGTTTATTTATTTATTTTGAGTCAGAGACAGAGACAGAGACAGAGCATGAATGGGGCAGGGCCTGAGAGAGTGGCTGACAGAGGATCTGAAGCGTGCTCAGCAGAGATCCCGATGTGGGGCTCGAACCCACAAACCGTGAGATCCTGACCTGAGCTAAAGTAGGATGCCCAACCTACCGAGCCACCCAGGTGCCCCAGTTGTTGTTCTGTTTTGACTCTTTCCCTTGGGAACCCACGGCTTATCCACTTTTCTAGACAGCTCCCTCCTATTTGCTGTCCCTTGTTACTGGACCAAAGTGGATCCGCTCCTTGGTGGACTATAGATCACTGAGAATGATTCCCAAAGTCGGGTCTCTCTGAACAAGGGAAAGCTGGCTCCTTTTATTAGGGTTTAGAATAAATATTCCAAGGGGGATTTTAAGATTGTAATGAGGCTGTGACACTCTCTGGCACTTTTTGAGTCTTCCTGCAGGCATCTTCCTCAAATGTTTCTTTTTCTGTTCCAGCAGGTCATTAGTTAGATTCTAAAAGGTAAGGTTGACAGTTCAGAAAGTCAGTCCTGAGTTCAGGAGGTCAGGGGATCAGGCTGGTGCCAATTGCTATCCCTATCAGTATAGACTTAATATCTTCTCATCTATAACTCTCTATATTCTTCTTGGTCTGGAGAGATTATGCTAAAGTTTTCCCAGTCAATTTCATGGGGGCTACAGTTTTTTATGATCATCACTAAACCCGCTTCTTTTAATACTAGGTGTCCATAACCAATGGCCACCTGTATTTGGAGCATTTTCCATGAAAGTAATCAGGCAGTTATGGTTGGTTTCTTTTTTTTTTTTTAAATTTTTTTTCTAACGTTTATTTATTTTTGAGACAGAGAGAGACAGAGCATGAACAGGGGAGGGGCAGAGTGAGAGGGAGACACAGAATTGGAAGCAGGCTCCAGGCTCTGAGCCATCAGCCCAGAGCCCGTCGCGGGGCTCGAACTCACAGACTGCAAGATCGTGACCTGAGCTGAAGTCGGACGCCCAACCGACTGAGCCACCCAGGCGCCCCAGTTATGGTTGGTTTCAATACAAGCAGCTTTTGTTGTTTTACACCTGGCCTGTTACCCTTGCTTATGTTAACTTTGTGCCTCAATAGCCATTTGATACTTGATGCAAATCAGTGTACGTTCCGGTAAAGGGACCAAATGTCTAGGAATTTCTGAAGAGATGAGTTATCATCTCATTTCCGTCACCAGTTGTGGGATCTTGGGCAAGTCATTTCACCCCTGGGTAAATCTCCTCTAGGGTACAATGAGAACATACAGAAGCGTCCCCTGCCTATCTCACAGAGTTGCTTGGATATCCAATGAAAGAACAAGGTGATCAGAGGATTTACCAGGCACCGTTTCCAGGTACATCACCAAGAGTCACAGCTTATTGACAAACACAGACCCCAGGCTTTTCTGAGAAGTGCCCTGCGAAAATCTAGAGTAAATACAAATGTGCTATTTCCCCCACGTTCATTGAAATAATGTGCAGGCTACTAAGTAAATGGTTAGGAGAGTATTGTAAGTCAGAAGGCAAGCGCAGCTGAGGCAAATGCATAATTATGATTTGATATCAGAAGATCCAACACGATCTGAATTAATCAGTCTGCTGTTGAGTCCAAGTTCCCGTACTGTTGAAGCTGGAGCAGACGTGGGAGTCCATTCTGGAAGTTAAGGAAAGCATAGCCCGGCAGGGAGGACTGTCTCAGGAGCCACGTGGATCGCTCGGGGTGGGGGGTGGGGGTGTCTCAGACCTGCCCTGGGTCGAGGCCGTCCATGGGCGGGCGGGACTTGGGGGTGAAGAGGCTGTGTCGGCTACTGGATCATAACTGCTGAGGAGAGAGCAGCACAAGGATCCTCCCTGGCGTCAGGCAGAGCTCTTCAGGGAGGTGGGCTCTGGGAGGGCTCCGTGCCTCTGCTCAGCCGAGCTCCAGCCAGAAGCCTTAGGAGCCACAGCAGGTGCAGAACTGCAGCTGCTGGCCAGCTCTCAGAGGGGAGCTGGACTCTTCCTGGGCTGCAGGAGCCAGGACAGCCAGGCTCAACTCCACCCGAACCATGCCAGCCAACCTCACGGAGGGCAGCCCCGACTCCAAGGGCTCCAGCGGGACCACGCAGACCCCGTATGCTTCCCCAGCCCTCTGCACCGAAACGGCGACTTTCACTGAAGTGGTGGAAGGGGAGGAGTGGGGCTCCTTCTACTCCTCCTTTAAGGTAAGTTTCCTGCTTTCCAGTCTGAACGGATTTTAAATGAGACAAGTAGAATTTAAGAGACTCAATTAAACTATCATTGCCAATACCGTGAATGGGTATAGTTTGTTTTCCCTACCGAAAAGAGTAAAAGGAAAAAAAAAAAAAAAAACAACCAATGAGCTAAGGCAAAGAGTTTTTCATATTGTCCAAGGACCTATAGTGTAGTTTTTTTCTGAATACTAGTCTTTTGTTCTGCTGCTGCTGTTGCTGAAAACATGTGAATCTTGAGTAACATTTATGTTAACTTCATGCCTAAGAGTCTGCAAAGCGGATGATTTTACTCCCCTCCCCTTAGATAAAAGCACTTTTAATTAATTCTATAGTAGTGCTTGAAATGTTGCCTGTTTCTTGTAGGGGTTATTGCGTGAGTTGTCTGCTAGGAACATCAGAGGTGTGGAAAGCCCACATCCCCCAGGACAGTGCCTGGTGCAACCGAAGACCTAAGCAGTAAGGAGGGAAGGTCCATACTCATATTGATCCTATCCTTTGAACATCAGTGAGAAATAGACTCTTTGATTGTAGTTTGTGGCGCCATCCTTTGCAACAAGTTGCCTCCTGGAACAAAGGAGGAATCCGACTTTGGTGAATTTCACCTTCAAAGCATCCAAGGGCCATACTGAGGAAATGATCCTCATTAACCTAATCCTGTTCCCTCTTTTGCAACAAGATCGGTCAGAAATCAGGCATGGAAAACGACAGTTCTCTGCTTCTGGCATCAGAAGGCAGGCATGTCAGGGTATTTCACACGCTGCCGGAAGGTGCATTAAGTGGTGGCAGTAATTCCTAGGTCTCCAACTGGTTTTTTATACCAAAAAGGAAAATACTTAAAAAAAAAAAAATTCTAGCAGTTTTTTTTTTAGTCATCTGGGTGTTCTTGAAATGATTTAGTTTTTACCCCACAAAATAGAATTACTGTAACATCCACCTCTCTACCGGAGCTTTGCTTCTTAAAGCAGAGCCTGAACAAGTCACTTAGGCTGGCTCCACCGGTCCAGCCCCTCAGAACCACCTCCTAATGCATGCACACACCCTGCCCAGCTGCCCAGCTCCAAGACAGAAAATAGAAACTGAAATTGGAGTTTGTTGTCATTTACCTTTGACTGAATAATCCCCTTTAAGAAATCAGCTTGCAGACCCAGAGATTCTGTCTTGGGGAAGCAGGCTCTGTGCACCCAGGAGACAGACACAGCTCCTTCTCAGTGACACTGCTTCTAAAGCCTCTCTGATATTTATAAAACATGACAGTAAACAGAATGAAGAGAGAATGGCCATTGCAAAAGGGATAATAATCAGCAATAAGGCAATACTCAGTCTCCACTGAAATCTCGTTGGCCATTTTTTGAATATAGCTCCTAAGGGGATATTTTGAATATTCAGACAAACCACCCCACCCCTCACCTCCTGCTGGTTCTCTACTAGTGTTTATACTCTGTCCTGGCAACACCATCTCTGGGCACTAAGGAGAATCATATCACTTTTTTCTTTTAAATCTCCTTCCTTTTCATGTTTGCCCTCAAACACCTGGACCAGTGCACAAGGAAAAGAGGATAAAAGAGAAGAATTGTTTGTCTGGGAGCTTAGAACGTTTCACTTTTGACCCATGCAATCATTGACTAAAACACAGTGATTTGTAGTTACAAGGCAGGTGCTGGTGTTTGTGGGAACCTAGCTTAAATGTTTCAGGGTAACCTTTCCCCAGGGTCCTCTCTGAACAGGGCAGTTCTGTTACATTGGCGATACAGGAACAATGGTGATGCAAACCCTTATTCATTGGTCCTTTGATGTCACCTACTTCTCAAGAAGAAAGCCAGAACCGCTCCTCTTTACTGTCTCTCAAACGTGTACTTTTAATCCCCGTTCTCTACCGAAAGCAGTAAATAATATAAAAATAAAACAAATGGTATCAGCAGTAAAAGTAGTAGAACCAACAATAACAGGAATCGCCTTGCATTTCATTTGCTGTGGGCTTTCTTGGTGCCAGGAATCTTTCTAAAGGACTTCTGTGAAGTATCTCCTTTAATTCTCACACACTATGGTGTCTCTTTTCCACCTGGACTTGCCTTCCACCTTCATCTGTGTTTATATAAAGTCTACCCACTCTTAAGTCTCCTCTTGAATTGCTTCCTCCTCGAAGCCCCCCTTGACCCATCTCTCCTCTGAGTTCCAGTCGTGCCAAGGAGTGTAACTGTCTTCTTGCCACTTAATCTGTCTTCAGCTGCTACTTCAGTATGTGTCTAGGAGATATCTAATAGTCATTAAGCTCCTTGAGGGAAAGGAATGCTTGATTTCTGTTTCCCATTCCCCAGAAACCAGCACCATGCTAGACGTACTCAATAAATGTTTACTACACAAATGAAGTGTGGTATTCTGTTTCTGTCAACTGCCCACATTTTGTCAGACTGGCTAATAGAAAGCTCGCTCGCTCTGTAACAGAGTTGGGGGAGTGGGTATCTTATCAACCATGACTGCACATGGCAGCCTCTGCCTTGCCTCGTCTCTACGCTCTGTACTGGCCAAAGGCCTTCTCTGCAGGAACATTCGAATCATCCTTGTCTCATTTCTAAGCCAACATGACCAAGGTAAGTTATGGATGCCAGTGGATGGGGTATGGAATTCGTTGTGGTGCCATAGACTAGAACCTAGTACTGACTTAGGCCCGAGAAACCGTACTTACCGCGTTGCAGCCTTACTAGCCTCCGCACTCTTGTTTAGTCCACACACCTGGGCTTCTGACTTAGTTTCCTGCTTAGCCTTCAGGTTCGCCTCTGAACTCCAAAGCTCTCTTGGCAGGAGAAAAGACATCCCTGTGTAAATATGGTTAGCTTTTCCTTCCACAGGCTTAGACCTTTTCCCTTCTTCCCATTTCCACCCCCAAAGTCTTACCGCCACTCCCCACTGCTCTAGCCTACTCTGCTGTGTAACCATGTCCTTGGATATAGGCAAGAAGGTTAGAGGTGAGTTCGCCACCCCCTTCCTCTATCATTGGCTTCATGTTACCAATCCTATGTGGTCCTGGGTTCAAGGTTCCCAGCTCAAGCCCCAGTTTCTTTCATAGTTTCCAATTTCAGGGTCCCATCCGCTTCACCTCTTCAGCTCCCAGTGACAGCATTAAACTCTACCAGAAATTCCCTAGGAGGATGGGACCTGGCTAATCAGAAAGTGAGTGGAGGAGGTGCATATAAACCTGTCCAAGTGGAAGACAAAGATGAAACTCTTCATTTTGCCCTTGAAGGTGCTAGCAATGCTTCCAGTATCTCTTAATGATGAGAAAATTAACTCAAAGTAACTGGGAGAGAAACCGGTCTGAATGAGTAAATTGGCAAAATTATGAAATAATGCAGATGAACTCATTTTTATTACTCTCAGGTGAGGGAAAAAACATCAACCAAGATTGCTAAATGTTACCTAATGACGATCTTTTATTGAATCTCCTTCAGTGAGTGGTTAACAAATGATATGCCATTAGTCTAACTATTGTTTATATGTAAATGGTTGCAGCTAAGTGCTTGAGGGTGATTGGACACGTTTTTTTCCCCCCCTTTGTTAGTGCAACCTCTTGTCTACTGTCTTATTGTTAATATTCTTGCTACACCTTTCCTCTTTGAATATAACAATAGCAAATTCTGGTTCAACTCATGTCCTTATCTCACACGAGGTTTTAGCAAGAGCTCAATTGAAAAAGTTTAGGAAGACTTGCTTCTTTTCACTGTATTTCGGTTGACAACTCATTTCTAAGAACTTGACCTACCTGGGGCGCCTGGGTGGCTCAGTCGGTTGAGCGGCCGACTTCGGCCCAGGTCATGATCTTGCGGTCCGTGAGTTCGAGCCCCGCGTCGGGCTCTGTGCTGACAGCTCGGACCCTGGAGCCTGTTTCAGATTCTGTGTCTCCCTCTCTCTGACCCTCCCCCGTTCATTCTCTGTCTCAAAAATAAATAAACGTTAAAAAAAAAAGAACTTGACCTACCTACTAAGTACCAGCATTTTCACCTCAAATGACAGTGACTGTCATTTCAGCTCCTTTTTGCCCGCTGGCCTGAACCCTCCTCTTGTCCTGTCCCACCTGATGGGGACTTGTTTGTCTCCTTCCGTCTTGGATGCCAGGACAGTTGTCACTGATGCCCTTCCTGGAATCCAGGAACCCTCCGTCCCTGACCTTCCCTTGTGGTCTCCTGCAGATGACAACAAAGGCCTGGCCTTCACCTCATGCGTTTGTGTTTGCCCTCCTGTATGGTTTCACTCGGTGCGTTCATTTTCAGTACATTCGTGCAGCTGAACATGTGGCTGTTGGTGAGGGAACGACTACTAGTTTTGCTCACTTAAGTAACTGTTAAAGGTCTGCTATTTCCTGCCCGTTTCTGCTGTGCACACCCAGCTCTACACTCCCCACCCCCTACTGGGTAAGCTCTGCCTCGTCCGATTTTACTCTGGGTCCTTGAGAAAGACACAGCTGCTGCTGGCGGGCTCCTCGGGGACGGGGACGCCCTGCAATTCCCAAACTCTGGACTCTAGCTTGTGAGAAAGGAACACCTGCTCAACTAAATTTCCCTTCGCACTGCTTACGCATCCGATGGCAGGAGACGTGATCTTCGTCAGTGCCAAGCAAACTCAGAATTGCGGTTTCTCCGCCCCCGAAGGGCTTTCCCATTTTCTGACTCAGGGAAGGTGTCTCGGCTCTCGGGATGCTGTCTCTGTGATGTGTTCACATGTGTGTGATGGGGGTAAGGGTGGGGGTCCGCCCTGAGGAGGGATCCGGGCAAGTCGTCCTCAGCGGAGACGAAAAGTCGTTTCTGGCCTTCAGAAGTGGCATCCTTGGTCCAGACCCTCGTCTGGATCCCCATCGGGCCCTCGGGGCTACACCGCGTTCTGAGGCAGGGTACCTCTGTCACACTTCCTTTAGGTACACGGGTGTTCATAGCTCCCTCTTTCCCTCTGTCAATCCTGGCTCAGTTTTTGTGTCCTCC